GGGCTTGCCTTGTATCTTGAGAAGTGGTGCAAAGGAGACGGAGCAGGAAGCCAATGGTTATTCACTGAAGGAACTACAGATAGTAGATCACCACAAAAGGATGTTGCGAAAGAGGTGAATAAGGGGAAGACTGCATACTCTAATTTCATCAAGCGCCATGCATTTAACAATCCTGYCTTTGTTCGTGAAAGACCACTATCAGAAGGGAAGCTTGGTACTCACTCCATCCGGAAGTTTGGTACCACCTTTGCAAGGCAGTGTGGATGCACAAGGGATGAGGTTGATTATAGAGCTCGTTGGAAGTCTAGAAGGCAACAGGATCGCTACACCGACACACAGCTTGCATGGCCTGATATTAATGTTGCATCGAAGCTTTGCTTTGGAGGAATCTGCTACTACAAGCCTTTGCAAGGAATGGGAGTCACTGATGAGTGGCTTGCCGCTTCAGTTGCTCCTAATATTGCCAATGTATTTGGAAATCAAGTGGCTRCAATCCTTGGCAAAGCGTTGCTTTGGGCTTGCTGTGATCCGGCAATGCAAGCATCCGGCTTGATTCCTGAGGATGTAAAGCAGGATGTTGTCGGTTCTTGGGTTCAACTCAATCACAGTCATGGTCCTCAAAGATTGGACGCTGATGTGAACCCTATCAAGMRMGTTGAGCTGACTGCTAATGAATTCAGTGGGCAAGTTCACTTTGATGAGCTTGCTGATCCGGATGATCTGCTGGATGGTGGCGGAGCCCCTGGAGCTGCCGGAGGGACTGCTCRTGGGATTCGGAGGACTCAGCTGCAGTGGAATCATGCAATGTTTTCCAAGCTCTTTGCCACAGCCAATCAAGTGAATGATATAAAGAATAGGCAGATTGCAGTTGAAGCCAAGTTCAACCAAAAGCTTAATAAAGCCATCGAGTTGTCCCAAAGAGCTGCAATGGCGCCAGTGGCAAGACGGAGGCCTCGTTCGCGTGCGTTGAACAGTGGCGCGTCGGAGACTGGCAACGCTGAGCTGTGCAAGTGTCCTCACGACCTTTATGTTCTATGGAATGAGTGGGAAGTTGGTGTTGGTCTCAATAAGCCTGCAAAGGAGTTCACTGCTGCTGAGCGTGGCAGAGTGAAGAGCAAGTATTGCAGGAGGCTGAAGTTCTGGAAGTGCATGGAGAGGCTCATTCGTGCTGGCGCTTCTTCTGAAACTGCTGTTAGAAGAATCTATGCAGTGTATGGTGGTCCAACCAAGAAGGTCTCCTATATCCTTAGAGCCATGGCTCCCCATGAAGCTGTTGGGGGACACCACTTGCTCCGAGGACCGGCTTCTTCTTAATCGACGCGCCGACCCTTTGTTGCCTTGGTCGATGCTTCTTAATCGACGCGTCGACGCTTTGTTCTTTGTTGCGTGTCTTCTTTTTTCCTTGTTCCTTACTACTTGTCCCCCCCTTATACTATCGAAAAAATCATAAAAATATAGTGTACTGTGTATATGTGAACTGTAGTACTGTATTTTGCTATCCTCACTAAGAGGACCATCTTGTTAGCTGACAGGAGTGTTGGTATCAGTGTTGTCGTTATCGACGTGATTGTCGAGAATTACTCTCCCAACTTGGTTTTTTTTCTATAGAATTTCATAGAGTTTGCCTTGTGCGTGATCGTGTGCGTGATTGTGTGAGTACTTCTCATCAAACACGCTGATACTCCAGCACTCCTGTCTTGTCGTGCACTGTTTATAAGACCTACGAGTCTTATGTACTGTGTCCTACACGGTTGCATTTTTAGTTATATTTTCTTTCTGTACTTGTCCAGTATCCTTTGGTACAAAATAGAATGTGTCGAAAGTACTGTAACTTGTACGTACAACCCCATACCGGCCCAGTACGATAAGGTGTAGAGTATTGCCATCCAGTCTGCCATTGAACCGTTACTCGCTTGCATATATCTTTATATACTCAAAAATCACTTCTTGTGATGCTCGGGTTTCGGCCCGAGCATTAAACAAACGCTTTACAATACAGAGAAGATTAGCATGGTCCCTGTGCAAGGATGACACGCAAAATCGAAGAGAAGCAAACCTTTTTTTTCTCCCCTTGCGACCGACCCAACCAAGCCCCATCAAACACTCGTTACGACATCCCCAGCTCCAGCTTGATCCGCTGCCACATGGATGCGCGATGCGATGTTTGCCCCGGTTGGACTGAGAACTGAGGTCACTGGTTCGATTCCTTCCACTGTACGGTACGGTCCATACGTAAAGAGGATGTTCCAGGTTTTGCAGTGAAGCGATGACACCGCGTCCGATGAGGAAAGGCACACCYACCATACCAGATGTTCCATGCGACAACTTTTCGTTGTCGCTCCACCCCCGGTGCGACCGATCGAGGCAAACCCTCGGGACAGACGCTTTGTATCGCAACAACCGGCCAGCTATTTTGGGGAGATTTCTCTTCTGGTTTGCATTGAGTTTCTCTCGTTTCCGCAACACTCGGARGGAATCGCGAGAGTTCGACTCGCGAACACCGACCAAAACGAAGACCTCCATAAAAATCGAACAACGAGCAAGGAAAAACTCGTTGTTTGAATCCAATTTCTTGCGAGAACAACACTTTGCTTGCAAACGCAAATGGCTATCAAACGAGAGAGAATTCATTACAAAAAATGCTCGTATACTTCACCGGATAACGATGGACGAGTTGAGATACGAAAARTAGAGGCTATGTTTAAATTGAACTCTTTATGAACGAAAATGTATTATATCTCTCTGCTTTAGATTCTTTTTCCAAGCTGTTTTTTTTTCAATCGAAGACTACCAATGCTATCGTTGATACCAGTAAGATCGATACCAAACGAAGCAAAACAGCCCTATTGATGGAGACAACGACAACAACAAAATGGCTTAACCAAATAACTGCTACGATCCAAGCGAACAAAAAGTCAAGGTTGATCCGGTCGAAACTTGTTTGCTTGATTGCCAACAATTGAGGTAGGCAAAACCGGAATGCCGTGGGAACAGGGTCCTGCTATTYAGAGAACTATCGTTACCAGCAACRTTTTATGGAAGTTCCTATGGGACTATGTTGATTAATTTCCTCAACCTGGTGTTCCTRATTTGYTATCAGTGCGGTGTAGTCAATTGCGACAATATCTTTGAAGATGAGTTTCGTCACACCTATTGCTACCAGTCACAGAAATGCGTAGATAGCAGCTTCGATCCATCGGATCACTGGCCTCTAATMAACTATGCTCCAAAAAGGAAGATGATGATTATCCTGGGGCATTGGCAAGATAGACTGCCAAACACACTGCGTAATGGAGAGCGTGAATTGTTGTATGTTTCGCGTAAAAGACGAATCTTTCCCATCTTACCCAACAAGCATCTTTTCTATTCTAATGCATTATATCATGCTCGGCTCGGATGGATGGACAACAAAAAGTTGATGTTTCAGTACCTTAGGGTTTCGTAAAATTAAAGAGCACCGACTCATAATCCCGTGAGTAGAACTTGAGCACAACTTTCTTCATCTTTTCGGTGTAGTGTTTCTTTATCTTTGCACCCGAATCGGTCTTGTGCGGGGCCAGGTTAGTCTCGAAGATGGGCAGCGCCATGTTGCCGCTCGCGTCCTCTCCCCAACCACTTGAGCCGTACTCGTCGAAAGCCCCGATCTGCTTTAGTAGGCGGTGCGTATCGGCTTTTTTGGTCTCAAAGCGCCCGACAAAATTGATGTGCGCCCAGTTGGCCTCCTTCATTCGGTCGTACTGGGCCYTCCAGTGGGGGTCGGGTCCGTTGCGACACTTTGCCAGGAACCCGTCCACAAAGCTCTCGAAGGGAAAGTTGTCGATCGTCATGTTAGTTTCGTAAGGCCACAGTGGATGTTTGGTGCAGCGGTCCGATACGTCCGATCTCAGTTTCGAAGGATCGGTGGTCTCGGGCGTCATCAAGCAGCACACTCGCTTGATGTAAGCGCCCGTCACCGGGGGCTGCCAGTACTTGTGGGTGATCAGGAGGCCCTTGTCCATGTAGGCGGAAAGGGYCCGCTCGATTGGATCCCTGACGAAAATAGCCCGCGTCCACTCGGGGGAGGTCATGAACTCCTCCTGCTGCTCCCTGGTATAGTTTCCGAGGTACTTCAGTCCGTTCTTTTCGGGGTCGTGGGCGCTGGCCTCCAGCCAGTCGGGTTTCCCCATCATTCGTCGAAAAAGCTTCTTGAAGGTGGTGCAGGCRTTCTTGGGAACGGCGAAGAAAAGGAGCTTGTGCGACTCGATCACGATCGGGTCGTTGTCCCATCCCTTGCGCTTGAAGATGTCATCGGACCAGTCGATAGGAGGGGGTGTGTATTCCGCTGGAAATATTTCTCCAGGTTGACTGTTTCGTGCTCGATTGTGGCCGTTGTCCCATCCCTTGCGCTTAAAGATGTCGTCGGACCTGTTGATGCGGGGTGTGCATTCTACTGGCAAYGTTTCACCTTCCTGACAGTTTGTCGCTGGAATGTCCATCGGGAATATCAATCTCGATGACGAGTAGAGGGAAAAACATATAGAACCTAGAAACACCAGCAGTATCCACCGCTTGTCACCCTTCGCAGTCCTCATTCTCGATTTGGTAGACTGCAGSTATTCGAAMTCGTATCGTATTTGTCGAATAGATAGAAATAGAGATATTACACCAKAGTATTGTTTTGTGAAATTGGTTGGTGTTGGGGATTTTCATTCCATTCACTGCAGGTACGTCTTMAGTATTGTTMCTAGTCGGAAGAATTCTGGTGCAAACTTGTTTTTCAAATTCAGATCAGCCGCACATGCTCGCACTCGTCGAAGTTTTTAATTACTCGTACTTCGTACTGCGATACTCAGTACAGTACTTCCTATGAGTTAACGGGTACACTACAGGTCTAACGGTAYAACACGGCGTCTACCGTACGGTGCGCTACGGTACGTGGTCCTGGATTGTATTCTAGTAGTAGATTCTAGGTGCTAGGTAGGTCCAACTAGTACGGTACGTACGTACGAACCATTACTTAATATCCAAAATCGATAGCATGACATATGACATATGACATGTGACGATTATTCATAGTTATGGTAGGTAGGTACKTATCAATCATAAAAAATATGTCTTACCTACTCGTACTCGCACGTACGTACCTATCTACTTCGTACTAGAGGACTCGTACCGTACCTCATACAGACTCTGAAAGACAAGCCACTGAATTTGGTGAAGTAGGTTTTACGTTTTACAGTACGAGTACCCTTCGGTACGGTACCATGTACTGTAAATATTGAACAAATACAGAAMAAAATGAGGCAATTGCTAGCTGGCTCGCGGCATCGTGAAATCCGGTTGTAATTTTGGTGACAAAAACGAGAAATCCGACCCGAACGGAATGCTKTACGAAACTTGTGATACTGCCCTGTATTCTGCATCCAAGTTTCATATTACTGTATCTTACTTCCGTTTTGACAAGTCGAACACCACTCTGCCAGTAGGCACGTAACGTACAGTTACGCAGTACGGAATCGTATTTTTGTCGATTAATCGACTTGAGTGAACGAGGAGCCTTAAAATTGATATTTCGAAATTTCGATGACGGTATTGGAATCGTAAGTAGGGAGAGGTTTCCGTCCTCTTCCTGCACTCGTGCCCTACAGGGTTCGAAAGTAGGATACGCCACCAATTGATGAGAAACCACACTGCCTAGCAACTGTCTCGGACATCCACAACATAATCCCCATAACATTTCCATCCTTCGACGACGGTAATAGCATCATGGTTTCCGTCTCCCGACTTACCGGCCCCTGTTCGCTGGCCCTATTCGCCGTTTCGCTCTTGGCCCTGCCCCTGGCCATTACCGGCCTAGACATCATTTCCATGCTCCCGAGCTCTATTCTGGACATGCTCCCGCTGCCCTGTCTCGAGGGGGAGTCTGCCGAGTTCCCGATGGCCGTCAACTGTGCAGTAGCGAACCTTGCGCAGTGCAGTGGCCTGCTTACAGCCCTGCCCACGTTCGAGGAGATTCCATCGGCCGTCGARAACGCCACGGAGTGCGTCGACATCCAGGAACCCTTCTGCGACATCGCTGGAACCTGCCCCCCCTGTCTCGATGAGTTTGAYGTCCTGATCCGGTGCATCGTTCTCAACTCGCCGGAGATCGCCGATTTCAACATTACCGAATCAAACATCACCRACCTGGTTGATTCGTGTGCGCTCAMGTGCGATGAAGATTTGAGAATGTAGAAACGAAGCGAAARTGTGTTCCCAAAAAGATGCTGCATAAAGTCGAGGAATGCATTACACTAGTCTCTCARAATTGGTGATGAAGTTTTGCCTTAGTCAAATAGAAAGTCTTGCGAAACCCCTTTGSTTTTGGATGGATGACCTAGGATGTGCAACTTGTTTGCGGTGTCAAGATATGAAGTTGCGGTTGTCAGCGGTTTGCTGCTGACTTTGCCATAATATCTACCGTGCCTTTTGTATTACTGTAGTGAATGAAATGCAATGAACTCTGAATAATGATCTTTTTTCAAGATAAGTGCTAAAGATACTGAATTAAAAATACTGGTCTACTTAGAGCACTAATTTAAAATGCACCTGATGATAAAATGTCTTTTCTATCAATTTTGAGATTAAACTTGTATTGACTGGGAAGAGAGGATTATCTGATCATATTGGAATCTAGTGATTGGAGRCCTGACGGGAATTTTGAAGCAGATGTAGATTAATGCTCACCATGTTTCGATCTTGTTGTTACATTACGTAGTGTATACAACCSCCCAAAATAGACGTGTTAGTCCAAATGGCTTATCTCGCTTTATATTCTTAAAGTCTTGTTTTATTTTTGGTCAGCTTGTTCATTTCCACGTGTCTTATTTCTTGGTTTGTTTGCTAGGTCGGATGCAGAGATAGAGTTCCTCTTCCGGCTCTTGGTCACTGGCAACGTGGCATCCGTCTAGGAAGCGGTTCTCATCACCGCGCTTGGCAAGCGGGACAACCAGCCCATCGTCGACCCGTTGGATTCTRCGAGAGTACGCGTCCGGGTAGGTCAGGAGGACCTCMCGGGGCCTCTTTGGGCGGTCGATGCGGGGATTCGAYAACAAGGACGACGAATCCGTCACGTAGCTCCCGAAATCAAAGTGGACCTGGTGTCGGTCCTTCCAGCGCAAAAAGAATTTCGGTGCTAGCATCTGAAAGTGGTGGTCCCGCATCTCGTCGTTGGTCACGACGAGGGTCTTGTATTTTAGGGCCGCGTGCATCCAGAACCAATCGTCGTTCATCCCTGGCGGAGTGGCGTAGAGGAGGCCCTCGTTTCTCCAGGCATCACAGAGTGGGCGGTACTTGTGTGGGAGCATGTGCCTCGAAAAGTGCCGGTGGTGCATAACTAGCAGGACCTTTTTCCCGAGCGTCTGCAAAAAGTGCCGAAGGACCCAATCGATCTGTTCGTAGTCGACGTGTTTTGGGGCCGATGCGAAGTTCTTCTTGAAATAGCCAATGTTGGCACCGTCGACAACAACATCGTAGGGGCGTCCCGTATCCCGTACCCCGCGGTCCAAGAAGTCCTGGAAGCATTTCCACTCCTGTTTGCGGTCAGAAACGGAAAAATCTGTCCGTCGCTTTCCCTTTCGTCCGCCCTGGAACTTAGCATTGGCRTTTCCCTTGATGGTTCCGTCGGTTACGATCGATTCGTTCATAGCGACCATATCTGCAAAGGATCCATCCGAAAGGGGGACGGGTTTGAGCTTTGATCCCTCGAGGCAACCATCTTTGAGCATTCCTGTGSTTCCATCAATCGAACACGCTGGACTAATCGTCCATTGCTCACCGGGTGCGAGAGTGACGGGGCCCATTCGAGGAGACGGTTCCGAGACGGTATCGTAGGTCCGGATTTCGTTCAACAAAGCCTGTATTGTCGCTGTTGCCTTCGAAGAATCGCTGTTTTGTTTTCYTGCTTCTTGCGTTGCGGTTGYMACCATGTGATTGTTTTGCTGTCGAAACCAATCCGCAATGGCTACGGCCGTCGCCTTGGCCGGAACCGGGATATCCTCCGCGAGACGGGTGAGGGCATCTTCCATCACCAGGTCGTTACCTTCTCCCTTCTTGGCCCGAACCGCGCACTGGATAAGGGACAARTACTCGCGCTCGGTCAGATCCATTCCGTCGGCGTTTTCCGAGTTCTTGTCACTTCCCTTGAAGGCCTTGGTGGATGAAGCTCGCTTTCGCAGCCGCTTCCAGCATCCGAGGGCATCGACGACCCTTGACTCCTCTTGGCAATAGGCGTGTAGTAGGCTGGCATACAGGCGGAGTTTTGGCTTGCACTGCTGAACCCCCTCGGCTTCCACCAGRATTTCTTCCGCTTTTGAAAATTCTTTGTTTTTCGACAAGATCTTGACAAGTGCGCTGTAGGCGGTCTCGTTCAACGGGAGATTGATTTCCTTTGATTGCATTCGCTTCTTGATGGCAAAAACATACTCTTGTCGTTTCTTTGAATCGATTTGTTTCTTTTCTTTACTAGCAACAAGGGTCTCCGGAATGCTGCCACCCTGGCTACCCGTAGAATCTTTTTGGGATTCGACAACTTTTGGGGTCCCGACGTGGAGTTTCCTGTCCTCCCGGTCCAGCCCATCGCACAGATTCAGCAAGTTGTAATAGGATTGGGCTTCGATSCGAACATTGTCGCGGATGGCTCCCTCGTAGGCATCCATCGCCGAGGCTAGATCGTTCGTTCGGCATCCTTCCTGAATCGTCTTTCGAACTTTGAGGATTTTTGGATCCATGTGTTTGGTTTTCAATTTCTTTTTGGACGTGGATTTGCCGCCTCGGGGTTTTGCCATCTGCGGTTGTTGGTGATTGCCTCCAGCGGCGMTGCTGCTTGGGGGTTGTTCGACCCGTTTCTTCTTGGAAGGGGGCTCCGTGGGGCTTGTTGCTTGCGTGGATTCAGCTGTCTCTGTGGAGGTAGCCGATTGGCGTTTGTTATTTTCGTTTTTGCTGTCCGTGTAGCCATCGTCAACGTTCTTCGATGTCCCAATGATTCCACCCATGGTGAAAGCAGAGGAGTGGGCCACAGTAAAATGAAGAACTAAGTGCTGTTGATACTCTTGTTGTGGTTGAATGCTTGAATGGCAAAGACTATRTCTCTTGTTGGAATCTGTTTTCCTATTTCTAAAAACCCTCCTCAGACGATCAAGAGAGTCGATACAGACGCCACGGATTTGTAATTCGAAAAAAAAACGTTTTTCGAAGAAATTGATGCCGCATTGTTCTTTTCGTTGCGATGCATCACACGGTGCTAGTGCTAGTACGGGTGGTTAGTTTCACAAACAGTGAACGATGGACAGACGGCAAAAAATAGTGAGAGAAAATAAAAAATGCTCATTCTGTCCTTCTCTAACACTTGAAAGGCAATATTATCTGATTCTTCRACTATTTTCTTGCATTGTCTCATTGTCAAAAGAATTTCAAGTGTGGAACATAACAAGAATGTTCACTCAAAGGAAATGCACATGGRGTAAAAGCACAAGAAGCATGTTTCTATTGATATTTTTTGTGAGTTTGCAGCTCCTTCTTGATGTTGCTACTACTACTGTTGTTACTATTGATTTGGATTCTTCAATTCTAATTCTYATTTCTCTGTTACAGCTATCCCCGTCTGATTCTAAGGCAGCAGATGCATCGCGTCCATGTTCTTTTGGTGTGTCACTATCTATTGTTGAAGGCAACATCGGCATCAAACTCCTTCCTCCTGGTTCTACCTCCCAGAGCTACTTCCCTACTGCATGACAAATATTAATGGTGTTGATAATGATACATACGAAACTCCGAAGTGCGATTCTTTTTCATTGCAGTGCTTGAACTTCGTTTCTTTCTTGYTTGATCGCCTTTTTCATCTTTAGGGCATACCGTTCGCAATCTCTTCTACGAGGGCTTCATTCGCTTGGGGTAACACCGGAATCGCCCCAAACACCCTCACCTGCATACGCATCCCGAGCTCGCAGTGGCTGCCGATGTCGCACACAAAGTTAAGTGTTTTACCCTTGTCGGCCTCCGTAAATACATAAGTGACGGGGTTGTCCCGGGTGCTTCCGACCATGATTTTGTCGGTCCGATCGCAGCCACCGAAGGGGTAGATGTAGACGTCGTGCGTTCCTCCCGACCACGCAAAGGTGAGGGTATCGCCGACCCGGACAGTCATGGGATCGTATTCGCTCCCGACGGGAGTCGGAATGATCCAGTCTGGTGCAATGTACGCGAAAGAGTTAATCTCTACCGTTGTTTCTGGTTCGACTTCGTCGATTTCGTCGATATCAGGTTCGWCCTCGTCAATGATATCGGTTTCGTTGGACGGAAAGAAATCATCGGTTTCGTTGGACGACGAAATGATATCGCCCTCTACGTTATCAACCGTGATGATCGTCGAAATATCAACCTCATCGCTCTCAACYGTGACGACCGTGATGCCCGTTGCAAGAATAGGTTCCTCGGTCGGCGCCGGTGCTGTCGGCGCTGGTGCTGGAGGAACGAGGMTGTTCCCCGGCTTATCGCTCTTGCAATCCATGGGACAGGTTCGGGTCAAATAGTCGAGATAGTGGTAGTTGCCTTCAAGGATGATGCAACGGTACAGTGCGACGAGTTCGTCCCTGCATCCCGGGCAGCAGTTCACGGCGGGGCAGATGGGGTCTTCAATCTCGTCGCATTCGACTGCGTCGACGGGAATGTAGAAATCTTGCAGTGCCGAGGTTTCCAACGAGAGAGGGGAAGCGTCGCCTTGGAACCTTTTCGAGTTACCGAAACACGCATCCCTGCATTCGTTGTTGCCGACGCAAAAGCCGGCCTCTCCCAAGAGTGGATTCACACACGCCATTGGGATCAAGTTCTCGAAGATGGTATTGGCACCGACGGGAACCACTACCGACGAGAGAAAAAAAAACAAGCCACAGCTAGTGGCAGCAGCCAACACGGCACGAAAAGATGTAGTCGATGGCGGGGTCATGGTTGTATGCTTCGGCTGTATGGAGACTGTGATAGCACAGTGTTCGGTAAGGTATCGTTCGCTGAACGAAGGTCGTAAATTGTGCATGTGTGGTTTTCGTTACGGGTACCGATACTGGTATTTCACATAGCACAATTTTGTTGTCCAAGGAAAGAAGTTTCCGCAAGCATTGTTCGGGCAGATTGCAAAACCCACATACGGACAAGTAAGTACTGGTACTCGTACGAGTATCAGTACCGTACATATGACAAAAGATCAAGACAAAAAGATATTGCACGTGTCGTTTTCGACAGTTGTGAAGAACGAAGAGGTATGAACAAAAATGTGTTAAATTGACATCATAATGAAATTTGTTAATAGTACCGTATGGGGAAGAAAGACTAAAAATCTTGGCGGGCTCTTAGTATGGTCGAGAAATCCAGAATTGCAGTATGTGTTTTTGGGTATATTTCTTGCTCACTCGCCGAACCTCCTCTACGTTCAGCATATGATTAGGGCTGTGGACAAAAAAAATTAATTCGTGGGTGACAAWAGTTTCTGCTTCGTTGGCGATGTGAGAAATTATTTCGATGGAAACTTTTTCAAAACTGATCTACCGTATCAACAAGGACGATCATCATCGAAGATTTTACAGTGCTGGGCATGCTAACAGGCAATAGTCTGGCAGGAAGAAAGGTAACATGATGGCGCTCTTAAGACAGAATGTGATCATGTAAATTATTTTGTACTATGAATGAAACTTTGGGGAGGGGGCTAAGAGAATCTAATTAATACAAAAAATATTTATGGTAGGAAAGAGAGCTACCACCAGATTTCAACTAGTAGTAGAAATGCTACAAAATTGCTACGAGATTGCTACGAGACTGCCACCAGATGGTAGCAATTCTGGTTGGTTTGAATTATTTTTGTGCACACACAAGCTGCAACACATATTTAAATAAGAGTACTAATGATGCAGGATTAACAAAGCCACCAGCTTCTTGAGCAGATTGATTTTTGGACAACTGTACTAGTACTACAAAAGTAGAAAGGCCATAGAAAACATGCAATCAAGGGTAACAAGCACTGTCCATTTTGGGCAAAATGGATTGTTTTTTCACATTCCAAATCCTACTTTCCAAATCCTACTAGTTCTACGTATTTACTGCCCAGGACTGATCCTCCCCCTGCACTTCTTCTTTTCATAAAAATACTGTTTGCAATATTGACTATGGGAATTGCTCTATTTCAAGCACTTCTACTACTGACTCTTACTAGAACCATCAACTAGCACCAATATCTCCCCCTTAGCAATTGTCAATTTAAGGTGTCTTGAATGGTAGAAAAGAACCAGTAGAAGTTGTTGAATGATCCTGCATCRACAACAGCACCATGGTACAACTAACCAAAGAAAATATCAAATTGGTAGCAAAAGATATTCTCCAGTGGCCTACTACTAAAAAGAGGGGATGGAATTCAAAGACAATGGATAAGAGATTCTTGTCATGCTTTGGAGGAGCTTCAATAAGGGAACTAGTGGCAGATACTATCTGGAATAGGAGGATAGCAGCTCATGGTGTTATTGCAACCGGTGGGGAACCAAAGCATTTGCTGTGGGCCCTTGTTCACCTGAAGATCTATTCAACTGTTAAAATCCACTGCACCATAGTGGGTTGGCCTTCCCCATAAGTMTTTTCAGATTGGGCTTGGTACTTTGTGGTGAGGATTGTGGCAGAACTAGAGTATGATTTGATTAGTCTTGACAACAGATTTGATGGTTATCATCATGGACAAGACCTCCAAAGAACAAACTGTTTCATAAGCGTCAATGGAACAGTCTGTCCTGTCTTTGAGCCTTCACCCTGGACAAAAACAATGTACTCCCATAAGTATAATGGGCCAGCTCTCAAGTATCAAKTAGGCATTTGCTTGAATGCTGGGTGGATTATTTGGGTGAATGGTCCTTTTCTTGGAAGTAAATGATCCAAAAATGTTCATTGAGGGATTAGGAATCCTTATACACAGAGATGAACCTGTAGAAGYTGATAGTGGATATGCCAAAAGTCCTAGATTCAAGCTTCCTAGAATGGGATTGACTCATAAACAAAGAAGGAAGATGAAATCAAATGTTTGGGCGCAGCAGGAAGCTGTTCATGGTAGATTGAAACAATTTAATGTCCTCACTACTCATTTTAGACACATGAAGCCAAACAGAGATACAATGATGAGGAGGCACAGACAGTKTTTCAATGCTGTTGCTGTTATTTCACAGCTCAAGCTTCAGTCTGGGGCAAGGGTATTTCTGGATGTGGTGGAGTATGATGTTAATTATTTCTAGCTACTTGGAACCATCAATAACATAGCACATGTTCTCCATAGCACCAAGAGCAGATATATGCAACTATTTAGTATTAACACTAGTAGTATTCCTACTGGCCTATTCCTTCCTGCAATCAAAGCTGGTCTACTAGTAGTAGGTAGGCTTCCAAGCAGCATGCTACTACTAGTACACAAATAGCAAGAATCTAGACTCAGTACTAGCACTTACAGAGGAGGTCAAGATTTACTAAATTGAGCAAACTGGCAAGCCTACCCCCTTGCAAAAGGGATTTCTACGGCTGCAAAATTGCTGTACAGCTTATTGTAGTACTACTAGGAAAGTTGAGGAATTAGATCCATTTTGCTCTAAAGTTTGATCCTCTGCTGCTTGATGGTTCAAYTACTAGTATGCATCCACTTGCTACTTGGTTCAACTACTAGTAGTAGTTCGGACGTACTAGTACTAGTAGATGATGCTACTGCTAGAAATGCGCTACTACTACTGCAGCTTGCATACAGTCAACTAGATGCTTGCTAGAGAGGAGCTACCATTGTTCATTTAAGCTTCTTTGTTATGCTTCATTTTTGYGCCATGGAAATAACAAATGCTACTACTACATCTACTAATCTTGTTMTTTGAGAAACTTCTCAATATCATCTACTAGTACTAGGTGTGACTTGACAGTGTGGAATGCACTGATTGGGTCAATTCCMGAGGAGGAATCAAAGGAGTGGAAAGATTTAGATCCTTCTTCCATTTGTAGCATGAGTTTGGAACAAACACCAGTTAATTATCAGCTATTTGTCCTCATCATACTA